GGGGGGGGCTTTTGTCTATGACAATTGCGCAACTTTCTACTTTCTTGAGACCTTCGAGACATTAATAATGTAAGGCGGTGAAATTAGGCGCTCGTCAAAATCGCAGGAATAGGTTAATTGCATTCTGCCAGTTTGTCAATTTTTATCGAGTTTTTGTCTTTTGGCTCAACATCTTTTATGTCCATATATAAGAACACATTTCCATACAAATTTTAGTGAAAAACATAGATTGAAGCCTAGGCGTAAAACGTGTAATATTCCCAGTTTTCAAGTACATACTCCCAACTTATTGAATTTACCGCCCGTTAATGAACCGGACCATAGCTATTGTCAAATTTTAGTCTGGAGCACCGGGGAACAGCGGCTCTATTTTAAAAAACATGAAAAAATAATTATTTGTCCAGGGACCCTAGCGACTGACCCATAGATGTACATTTAAAAGGGGGTAACTCTATTGCCTGCCCTAAGCTAGATTATAATTATAGCTCGACGTCGTGATGATAGATGTATATCTAATAAGATGATGGTATCAATACACCCGCGGCCGGCCAAAAAGATTATTCCATAAACATTTAAAACTATGTCTAATCGTAAAAAATATCAAATTCGGACGGAACCAGCGTGTCCAAATTAACAATATAACTCGCATGTGACTGCTTTTCTTGCAGGATTTAGTAGATCACAAAAAGAAGTATTTTATATAGATAATCTACCAAGATGTTGCATCTTTGTTTAGTATTTTCCTATCATAAAGAGGACAGACAACAGCCACTTTTAACTTTAACTGATCTTATAAATTCCTTTGAAATTTGCCGCCGTGCGGGATTAAACTTTGCGCGCAAAATTTTCAAAATATTTATCGCATCTAAAAACTGGTTTCACTTTCGAAATCGGCGTATCAAAAAAGCATAGTGGCTCACGTGAAACCTGATTTGATGCCATATTATTATTTTAAAACTTGAGCAAACTTTGTTTTTCAATTGTCTATTTTCAATCTAAAGTTACGTATCAATGTCACCCAGTGCGTTGTAAGTGCATCTGAGGTCAAAGCTGCTAGAACTACACAGTACACATTGCACACTAGATTCTAGATATCTACTATCTACTAACTACTGCAAGTCACTGTACAGTGTACAGTTTGGCGACTAGGTCGAATTAAGACAATAGTCTCTTTATTGAAATGTAGAGGCCCACAGATCCCTCGAATGTCTGAGGACGATTAAGTCCTGAGACTACTGTTTGTTCGTTTTTGTAAAGTGTTTTACGGTGCTCGCAACTGAATAAGGTCATATGAGCGTGCCGCGGACACACCTAATATTTTCAGTTGGTAGGAAATTTTGAATTTTGCCCGGGTGG